CTCAAGCAGGAGACCCTACACCATTCTGGACAAATAGCTGTCCATACTCTTCTTGAAAACCTCCAGTAATGGAGCACCCACAACTTCCTTCCTCTACCTACCTAGCCACCTAGAACATAGAATAATAGAGTTGGAAGGGACATTGGGGGTCTTCTAGTCCACCAACCTGTTCCAGCAGGAGATCGTATACCATTCCAAACAAATGGCTCTCTAGGCTCTTCTTGAAAACCTCCAGTGATGGAGCGCTGAGTTATTATCAAATAACTAACTAACAATCTGGTCTCTCCACATGTCAACTTTAGTGAAGTGTGCAAACAAGCGTCTGCATTTCCTGCATCGGATGAGGAGAGCACATCTTTCTCCTTCTGTCCTGGCCACTTTTTACAGAGGCACGATGGAGAGCATTTTTTAACAAACTGCATCCCTGTTTGGTTTGGTGGCCACAGCGCCTCAGATAGAAAGTCCCTACAGAGAGTGGTGAGGACAACCGAGAAGATTATAGGAAGCTCGCTTCCCGTTATTCAGGAGTTTCAAGTTGAGTCTGTAGCCCCAGAGGCTGATAATACCCAACCCAGACCACTTCACAGAACATTTCGAGTTGAGCTGTTTTGTTCCAAGCTCATTAGCCAAACACAATTCCTCTTTTGCTCATATTCCTTGCATAGCCCGTGAAAGGAGATACAGAGATAGCTGTGTGTGCATATAAACATGGGCACACACAAATGCACACCGCACCTATATTTTGTCCTTTTAGATGCACACACACAGAGATGTACATAGGTAAGCAGTGCTCTTGTTGGATGTGGAAGGAGAGAAGATTGAAGAAGAAGGTTGACGGGAGAAGAGAAAAGAGAGAGACTCAACTGATCTAACGTGAAATAGATATTAGGTGTGACTGAGATATCAGAAAATACAGAAAAATACAGTTTAACTGAGTTGGAAGGGACCTTGTAGGTCATCTGGTCCAACCCCCCACCCAAGCAGATCCTACTACACCATTTCTGACAGATGGCAATCCAGTCTCTTCTTGAAAGCTTCCAGTGATGAAACTCCCACAACTTCCGAAGGCAACTTCTGTTCCATGGGTTGATTGCTCTCACTGTCAGAAAAATTCTCCTTATTTCCTGATTGAATCTCTCCTTGCTCAGTTTCCATCCATTATTCCTTGTCTGACCTTTGGTGCTTTGGAAAATAGCTTGACCCCCTCCTCTCTGTAGCAGCCCCTCAAATATTGGAATATTGGAAAACTGCTCTCATATCTCCCCTGGTCCTTCTCTTCACTAAAGTAGCCATGCCCAGTTCCTGCAACCGTTCTTCATATGTTTTAGCCTCCAGTCCCCTAATCATCCTGGTTGCTCTTCTCTGCACTTTTTCTAGAATCTCAATATCTTTTTATAGTGTGGTGACCAAAACTATTCTCAATTACATTAGTATCTTAAGGCATGTAGTTTCTTAAGGAAGTTTGGTTCTTAATTAATGCATGAGAAAATGTTGTTAAATGTTCTTGTGAACTCCTGATCAGCTGTTTGGCAGGAAACATAATCTCTGTTATTGTTTTTTCTTCTCAAGGGTTGCCACTTTCAAGTCAGGGACAACGTGTTCTGCAGAGTCCTCCCCAGATTTTGATAGCGATCTTTCTAATGTCAACTCTGCATTCAAAATTGTTGTGTAGCATTTGTCCCATTTGTGTCCTAGTGTGAAGGATCATGGAGCATTGTGAGCAAAAGGTGACCTGAATCAACAAATAATCTACTCTATTGAGCCTCCCAAAGATGCTTTTTCAAAAGGCAGCTGGACTTTCTTGGTGTTTTTTTTTCTTTCCTTTGAAGGCTTCTCACTTCTCATCCAAGAAGCGTCTTCGGTTCTTTAAGAACTGAAGAAACCTCTTGGATGAGAAGTGAGATGTTTTCAAGGAAAAACAAACTCCAATTGCCTTTTGAAAAAGCACCTTTGGGATAACCATGACCTGGATGACTTGAGATTCCCCAAGGACAAATTTGGTGACAAATTTTAGATCCTTCAGTAGATTTGTCATCAGAAGAGGGAGAGTGGCCTGTTCTCTGTCCTCTCTTTTTAGCTGCTTGGTGATCCGTATAAATCAAGAAAATTTATAAAAATGCAAATTGACTTACTTGCTCATCAGTAATTTGTAAATACTTATTTTTCATAGTTATTATGTCTGTCAAAGATGAAAGCAAAAAACCATCCACCCAAGATATTACCCTGTTTTCCCCAAAATAAGGGATCCCCTGATAATAAGCCCAATCGGGCTTTTGAGCGCATGGCAGTAAGGCCAAGCATTTATTTCAGGGTTCAAAAAAAGACGGGGTCTTATTTTCGGGGAAACAGGGTACTTCCTTTAATCCTTGGATTTCCTTCTCCAATTTCCCTTAGAAATTCTGAGGCTGTATCGGTTTTCCTTAGGATTGCAAAAATCTGGTTGAAGAATGTTTTTCAGAGGTCAAAATATTGCACCCAGTGTCAGCTTCCATGGTAACCGTAATTGTCTGAATAATATTTAAGTCTTCGCAAGGAATTGGTCATAGTTAAATGTAATTTTGTGAGGCTATTAATGCTGCTGCAAATAAAGTTAGAAATGTGAATCTGGCCTAATAATACATTGGCTGATGGCTTATATCTGTTTTTTTTTTTAAATGTATAAAGGACTATAATTGCAAAAGGAAAAAGTAATATAAATTTTAAAAAGGAAAGGGGAGGGAAGGAGAAAGGGGAGGGAATAGAAGGAGAAAGGGGAGGGAATGGAAGGAGAAAGGGGAGAGAAAGGAAAGGAATGGAAAGGAAAGGGGAAGGGAAAGAGAAAGGGGAAGGGAAGGGAAGGGAAGGGAAGGGAAAGGAAAGGAAAGGAAAGGAAAGGAAAGGAAAGGAGAGGAAAGGAAAGAAGGAAAGATTTCCAACTTTCATCACAAGAAATATAAACAATTTAAGTAACCACCTCTTAATTTATAGCTTCATGGTCTCTCATCTCATGTCCTATCTCTATAAACAAATCCATAAAGCACCATCATTTCAGTCCCAGTGTTGGCAAAAGGGTTGCCACAAATAACCACTTATGTATTTTAACCTTGATCAACTCAATCAATCTTAATCTTTAGTCCATTCCAATAATGTCATAGAATTTGATCTCAGTGAAAGGTGATTCCTTTATTAAAGGTTAGAAAAAGGTATTATTTAGGCTGCTGGTCTTGATACAATGCCTCTCAGGTCTTGTGAAACACAGACTGAATGGAAATTCTAAATGGAGAATGCCATAATGTTGTACTCAGGAGCATCGAGTGTTGTTTACCAAGAAGTTGTGGTCAGACCTGTCAGTAGACTTATTTACCTGGGAAGCAGGTTCAATCTGACTGGAGCTGGCAGGGAGGAAGCCTTGCAAATTTGAGTAACTTGTTGGTGAGGAGGGAAAATGTTCTCCTGTTCAGTATTCTTCAAGGTTAAAATAGATTTGATTTGATTTCTGACATAAGCCATTTTTATGGGGGAATAGAATTCAGTTATGCTCATTTCCTGAAGTTCCAAAGTTGTAAACCTAGAACAAAGGAGAACTAAAGGAGAAATGTCCTGACAGTTAGAACAATTCGCCAGTGGAACAACTTGCCTCCAGAAATTGTAGGTACTCCAACGCTGGAGGTTTCTAAGAAGAGATTGGACAGGAATGGTATGGGGTTTCCTACCTGAGCAGGGGATTAGACTAGAAGACCTCCAAGGCTTCTCTTCTCTTCTCTTCTCTTCTCTTCTCTTCTCTTCTCTTCTCTCCTCTCCTCTCCTCTCCTCTCCTCTCCTCTCCTCTCCTCTCCTCTCCCCTCCCCTCCCCTCCCCTCCCCTCCCCTCCTCTCCCCTCCTCTCCCCTCCCATTTCATTCCGTCTTTCACTGCTGCAAAATGCAATTCTTAGCTGCTGTAATAGTGGTTTGCACATGTTTCATATATTGACATTCGAATAGACCTGTCCTGAACCAATTACAACAACCAGTGCTTTTTGGCTTTTTAAAACTAGGCGACTTGTTTGAGGTTCATGAAAGAAACAGCAGTCTTTCACTTAATTACTTTTGGTTGAATATGTTAATGTCTTCCCTAAATTTCTGAGTCTTAATTTCTCTGCCACCTGTTAATCTCCATATGTCATTTTCCCGCCTTTGTCTGCCACCAGCTGCTCATTTACTAAGTTGCTCTGTGGCTGTAAGTAGACATTGTTAAGGAAAAAAGAGACCCTCTTTTCTTAATACTTTGGTATTTTGTGAAGACATCAGTCAAAAACTGTCTTCTCTTTATCCAATCAAAGAGGAAGTTCACAGAGTAGAGCTAGACTAGGGGTGTCAAACTCATTGAGGGCTGCATCAGGGTTGTGTTTGACGTTGGGGGGGAAGGGGACATGGCCAGGGGGGGGCATGGCCAGCTCAATGTCATTCATGTTGGGGGCACCTGTGGTGGTCCAAGTGCTCTGCCAGCGAAAACGGGTTCCCGCGCTCCATTTTTGGCTGCAACAGCCTCCTGCAACCTTCCGCCAGCAAAAATGGAGCTCGGAAGGGCTGCAAGCTCCATTTTTGCTGGCAGAGGCACCATGGGCCCTCTCTAAGCGATTTACAGAGTCAGCCTTTTGCCCACAACAATCTGGGTCCTCATTTTACTGATCTTGGAAGGATGGAAAGCTGAGGCAATAGCAATAGCACTTAGACTTATATACCGCTTCAACAAGACTTCACAGCCCTCTCTAAGTGGTTTACAGAGGTTTACATTCAGCCTATTGCCCCCAACAATCTGGGTCCTCATTTTACTGACTTCGGAAGGACGGAAGGCTGAATGAACCTTGAGCCTGGTGAGATTCGAACTGCCAAATTGCAGGCAGCCGGCAGTCAGCAGAAGCAGCCTGCAGTTCTCCATTCTAACCGCTGCGCCACCACGGCTCAGGGATCAGATCAAAGAGAAGCGCCCCAAACTCTATTTAATTGCCCTTAAATCTTCCCCCTCTTTTTCCCTCCCCAGGATCAACGTATAGCGTTCTTTCTATAATGCCTTCGGATTCTGAAAGCAGTAGTTCTCTCAGCAGTACTGGTAAGTAAAGAGCTGCCTGTGTTGGAGTTTAGCTATTTGGTTTGAATTGATCGTCAGTCTTGAATATACCGTGTTTTTCCAAAAATAAGACATCCTGTGATAATAAGCCCAATCGGGCTTTTGAGCGCATGCACTAAATAAGCTCCCCGAAAATAAGCCCTCCCTGAAAATATTTAAATGCATGCAGAATCAGTCCCCGCCATTTCCTCTGGGTAGGGTTAGGGAGACAGAACTGGAAATTAGGTAAGACGTCAAAAGGAGACCCATCTTGCTCCACACGCCCCAAAATAATAAGACTTCCCCGAAAATAAGGCCAACCGCTTATTTCGGGGTTCAAAAAAATATAAGACAGGGTCTTATTTTGGGGGAAACACGGTATGTATTTTCTTACTCAAAAATCTATGCTTAAGAACTGTGGCCGCTGCTTGAAAGTTCCAGACCATTTCTGTGTTTGAGAAAAGTTGCCTCTGGATGTTTCTGAAAAGGTTGAATTTCCAACAAGTAGTCCTCTAATTTATGAGCCCAAAATTTTGGTTGCTAAGGTTTTTGTGTGTGTCTTGTGTGGATGTATACCGCTTGTCTGTTTTTCAAGCCTCTGTGTCCTTTTTCATTGCCGCAAACTATTCATAGATCAATTGTTCACCTATAACTTTTTTTTTACTATTCTATTTCTTCATTGCTGCAGACTGTTCATAGATCAGTCGCTCACCTACCCTGTTTCCCCGAAAATAAGACCCAATCAGAAAAATAAGCCCTAGCATGATTTTTCAGGATGCTCGTAATATAAGCCCTACCCCCAAAATAAGCCCCAGTTAAGATTGTCAGCCAGATGGGTGCATTTAGTACTGTATTTCCCCCAAAATAAGACCTAAACAGAAAATAAACCCTAATGCATCTTTTGGAACAAAAATTAATATAACACCCGGTCTTTTTTTCTGGGAAACACGGTATAACTTTTTTTTTAATATAACTATTCTAATTCTTCTTCTTTTAGAATTTTGATCCTATCTGACTTTATAACAGGCAGTTCTTTTTAGCCTGTTTAAAATGCAATGCTAACTTTAAGGGTTTGTGTCTTGCTTTTCATCTGGACCAAAATCCTGATGGTAACCTATGAATCTTCCATTTTGGCTGGAAACTCTTAAGCCAGTAATTCCAGTGCCAGAAACCCTGAGTCCAAAAGGAGCTGGCTTTGACCACACATTTCCTGCTAACAAGAGTGCTTAGGTTTCATTTAATACAGAGTACTTCATGAATTATAGAGTTTCCAGCAAGCTTTATGCTACGCAAGCGTTCTAAAGTAGCACGTAAAGCTTAGCCTTCCACGATTAAGTAGGTGCCCACTTGGGTTTTATTTTCGGAATCTGATTTTAATTCTAAGGAGGCTTGGAAAAGTTTACGCTTCTGGAGCAAAGTCCGGAAACGGATCTGTCTGATACTCCTGTGGGAGCGATTCTCACGCAGCTGAAATCTTGCGGCCTGATGCTAAATCAGTCCCGTGATCAAAACAGGGAATAATGGAGACTGTCTACACACACACACACACACACACACACACACACACACACACACACGAAAAGCACTTTCCCTTCACGTGTGGTGAATGAGACCACAGCAAGCATTTGCACTCTGTTTGCAAGATAAATAGAAATTGTGTTCAATATGTAGCAGTCCCTGGATGCTGTTTAGCTTTCCTGCAATAAACGAAAAGTTTCTGGAGTCATGCGAGGCTGTTTTCTTTGTTGCAGGTCAGGCTTGTGTTGTGTCTGTAAGAGATAACATGTTTCAGGCAGTTGAAATCAGCTTTCAATAAATAAAAACATTGCTTCAGCCTAAGCTGCTGAAGAGTGTCTGGCATTAGTTTGCACTGCCAGCCCAGATGGTTTAAATCACGTTTCTGCTGGTCTTTTCATCCCAATAAAACAAGCAGTGCCTTTAAAAAAAAAAAAAGACCTTCTGTTGTTTATTTAAAAGTGAACTTGGTGGAGGTTTAACTGTCAGTCCCTCGTCAAAGATCCTTCTCTCCTTTTCCCAATCAAACACTCCTCTCTCTCTCTCTCCCTCTCTCTCTCTCTCTCTTTCTTTCTTTCTTTTTCTTTCTTTCCTTCCTTCCTTCCTTCCTTCCTTTCTTCCCCACTCACTCACTCCATGCCCCTCCCCTTCCTCCTTCCTTCCCTCCTTCCCTCCCTCCCTCCATCTTCCTTCCTTCCCTTCCCTCCCTTCCCTTTCCTTCCTCCTTCCTTCTGTTCTTTCCACCCTTCCTCCCTCCCTCCCTTCTCTTCCCCCTTCCTTCCTTCACTTCCCTCCCTTCCCTTCATCCTTCCTTCCCTTCTTCCTATCCTCCCTCCCTCCCTCCTCCTTCCTTCCCTCCCTCCCTCCCTCTGTCTTCCTTCCTTCCTTCCTTCCTTTGCTTCCCTCCCTTCCCTCCCCTCCCCTTCCTCCTTCCTTCCCTTCTTCCCTCCCTCCCTCCATCTTCCTCCCTTCCCTTCCCTTCCCTCCCTTCCCTTTCCTTCCTCCTTCCTTCCCTTCTTCCCTCCCTCCCTCCATCTTCTTTCCTTCCCTTCCCTCCCTTCCCTTTCCTTCCTCCTTCCTTCCGTTCTTCCTACCCTCCCTCCCCTTCCCCCTTCCTTCACTTCCTTCCCTTCCCTTCCCTCCATCCTTCCTTCCCTTCTTCCCTCCCTCCCTCTGTCTTCCTTCCTTCCTTCCACCCTCCCTCCCTCCCTCCATCCTCCTTCCTTCCCTCCCTCCCTCCCTCCCCCTTCCTTCCTTCCTTCCTTCCTTCCTTCCTTCCTTCCTTCCTTCCTTCCTTTCACCTTCCTTCCCAAAAATTGAAGCATTTCTCTTAAATTTCCTCAGACTACGCTGTAAAAAAAATTGTGGAATTGGCAGGAGCATTTTTGCTCTCTCTCTCTCTCTCTCTCTCTCTCTCTCTCTCTCTCTTTCTTCTTAAAGAAGAAAGTGTCATTTGGCCCATCCCTGAAAAAAATACATCACTATTGTCCAGGAAAGTAAACGGTAAATGCAGTCTGATTCTGATTAGTCATAATCTGAGACATAAGCAGGATCAGATCAGCAGAATAAATAAGTAAAAGAATTTCTCAAAGGCTGTGTAAAATATCTGGGATCTACTCCCACTACCAGATTACCGTCTTCCAGGCTTGCTGTGCTGAATTTGTTCTGCATCATTTACTGCAAAAATGTTGTTAGCCTTTTGACATTTTCTGTAACTTACCAGGAAGTTAACATTAGGTGGTGTTCAGGATAGTCAGATCATCAACCATTTTAAATTTTAGTAATAAGTTTTTGCAGGGGAGTTATGAGAGTTGGTTGAATGGAGGCAGATATCGGAAAGCGTAAAATGATGATAGCTGTGTGATAGCAATGGCAATAGCACTTAGACTTATATACCGCTTCACAGTGCTTTACAGCCCTCTCTAAGCGGTTTACAGCATCTTGCCCCCAACAATCTGGGTTCTCATTTTACCCACCTCGGAAGGATGGAAGGCAACCTTGAGCCTGGTGAGATTCGAACTGCCAAATTGCAGTCAGCCGGCAGTCAGCAGAAGTAGCCTGCAATACTGCACTCTAACCACTGTGCCACCGTGGCTCATGATAGTTGCAACTCGTGATAGTTGCAAGTTGCATTCCAGGGAATTGTGATAATAAGGGTCCCTATGGATTTTACTCCGCTAGTCATTGCTGACTCTAGGGGGCGCTGATCATCTCAGTGACAGCATGCTGGCCACTGAGCCAGTGCTGTCGGAATACATTTCCGTAGTCAGGTGGCCAGCATGACGTCCCTGAGCACTGTTACCTTCCCACCGAAGTGGTACCTATTTATATACTTGCATTTGCATGCTTTCAAACTGATACAATGGCAGGAGATGGAGCAAGGAACGGGAGCTCACCCTGTCGCGTAAGTGGGAAAAATGTTCCTAAGTCGCTTCTGTTGTAACGGTGACTAAACGAATGTTTGTAAGTCAAGGACTGCCCGTGTCTTCAAGATGCTTCTTCTAACCCCCACAACTCCACTTCTGTTTTTGTTTGATCCCAGGCACAACGGGAAAAACATCGTCACCCCCACCTCCATCGGCGGATGTGAGGCAGATGAGCGAAAAAGTGGAGACCATTTTGTTTCAGCTTCGCCAAGTGACCCGCGAGAGAGATGAGCTCCGCAAACGTCTCGCCCTGTCCTCACCCGGGTCAACCTTCGATGACTGCAGGTGAGAGGATTCAGAACAGAATGCAGAGATTTATTTCTCTACTGGGTGTAGAATCTACTCGAATGTTCTGACCCAGCTCCCCAAACATTACAAATCCTCTGTAGTTAAATCAATGATTCCTTTATTAGGAGCGCCAGCAGCCCCGGCAAAAAGTCTCTCTCTCTCTCTCTCTCACACACACACACACACACACATACACAGCAGGCTAACAAGTCTGTTTGGCAAGGAGATGGATGGATGATAGATAGATAGATAGATAGATAGATAGATAGATAGATAGATAGATAGATAGATAGATAGACAGACAGACAGACAGACAGACAGACAGACAGACAGACAGACAGACAATAAGGTAGGTAGACAGTCAGACAGACAGACAGACAGACTGCCTTTTTTATTCTTACAAATAACTCAAGGTGGCAAACATATCTAACACACTTTCCTCCTCCTATTTTTCCCCACAACAACAATACTGTGAGGTGAGTTGGTCTGAGAGTCACTGGCCTAAGATCCCCCAGTTGGCTTTCATGCCCAAGGTGGAACTAGAACTCGCCATCTCCTGGTGATTGACACAACGTTACCCAGCTGGCTTTCATGGGTAAGACGGGACTAGAACTCAACAGTCTTCCCCTTTCGAGGCTGGTGCCTTCACCGCTGATTGACTAAGTTCACTAGCATGGATGGAAGTTGGGATTTTTGTGATATTTGAAAGACCATCCATGGGTCGTTTTGGGTTTATTAGAATGTGACTTATTGGTTTTTGTGACCGAAGCAAGATGTGATGCCCGCATGTATCGTCTCTTGAGTGTCTTTTGAACCAACCAGTCCTGTTGAATTCCAGTTTAACTTCTGTGATGTTACTGGATTCAGCTTGTATTACCTTTTTAATACGTTCTTTGTTTAGAAGAGAAAAATAGTCTTAACGATTTGTCTGCAAATATGTGTTAAGGGTAGGAAAAAAAACAGTCATTGGGCTCTCGAGCTAAAAAGTACTTTGTAAAGAGGATTTAGTGGTACTTCAGTCCACTTACCGTATTTTTCAGAGCATAAGATGCTCCGGACTATAAGATACACCCACCTTTTTTGGTGAGGAAAACAAGAAAAATAACTCTGCCTCTGCCTCCCAGCAATTTTGCCTCATTGCAGCAAACAGCCTGCTTTACTTTCATTTTCGTTTTCAGCATAGCTTGATTAGCACACACACACACACAAAAATCTGCTCCCAGCAATTTATCTCCTTGCAGCAAGCAGCAGAGGCCCACGCAAAACAGCTGAGAGTCGGGAGGCCGATCCAATGAACTTGTGCTAATTAGGCTAATTAGGAACAACTTGCACGCATGTGCGAGGGAACCTTTACCTTTACCTACAGACTATCAACCAGCCAAAAGAGAACAAAAAGACTCCAGCAGCTCTCCACTAGTAATCAGCACTCAGATCAGTATAGATTAACTCCAAGGTTAACATCAGACCAACAATCCAATAAACAATACCCCAAGCCTTGGTAGTGCAGCAGACTAAAGTACTGTTAAGTAACACCAGCTGCCTGCAAGTACTGCAAGTTCAAATCTCACCAGGCTCAAGGTTGACTCAGCCTTCCATCCTTCTGAGGTAGGTAAAATGAGGACCTGGATTGTGGGGGCAATAAGCTGACTTTGTATAAAAAAGAACACCGCTGGGGGGGCGGGCGAAAGCCCTACTAAGCAGGTATATACAAAAGTATGAAGGCTATTGCTTAATGCATTGTAAGCTGCCCTGAGTCTCCGGAGAAGGGCGGCATATAAATCAAACCAACAAATAAATAAATAAATAATAAATCAAGAAACTGCCAAAGAAGTCAGTAGGAAACAGCCCAACCAATGAATCTCTAAGACTGTCCCCACTTACAGAATGGGACAATTCACCTGAACTAACTTGTTACAAGACAACCTGCCATGGCCAAGTCACCATGGGAGAGAACTCGCTGCGAGACAATTCAACAATTCAATTTAATTATTTAAAATATTTTTTAAAAAATATATATTTTAATGTTGGTCGTTCACATTTTATTTTGTCCCTCCTTTGGCATCCTTTGTTTCCTGATTCTATTGGGTTATTTATTTGATCTTAGTGTAACGAGTTGGCTGTGGTGAGTTGACCATGGCGAATTGGCTGCAGCCCCCCGTCACTAACATTGACAGGGCAAGCCACTAGAATATAAATGGAGAGCAAACTCCACTCCACTTTTGGCACTGATGGTGTTACCTAGTTGGGTCATGAAACGTTTGCAAGAAAACAAGCAAGCTCAGAGAGCACCAAGGACCCCTCATTTCAACCCTGAGCTACAGAGATTCTACTTTATTGTCTGTGGGCTAGATCTGAAAATTGGGGAGGGGGGGAAGCAGTGATTTATCCCTTCCATACTGTTGACCAAATACTCCTAAGAGACTTTAGTTTACGCATGTGACCATCTCTTTGTGGTAGGCCTAACCCCAAACCAAACCACGATTACGAAAGGTTGAAGATACAGTGCATGAAGGCCATGTCGGATCTACAGTCCCTACAGAACCAGCACACCAAAACGCTAAAGAGATGTGAAGAAGCTGCTAAGGAAGCTGATTTCTATCAGTGAGTAAACATACACATCCGTACCGTTTTTTCTTATTTATTTATTTTTTTTTTGATTTGAATAGTTCTCTTAGAATTGGATATTCAGGGGCTTTTAATGCTAGCTTTCTTATCCTCAATCTGTTTGTCTCTAAAATGTCCTAATTTTAACATCGGCGGAGGGAGAATATACAGAGCATTTAATAGCGGATTAAGGATTAGTGTTTTTTTTTAATCTCCCAGATTGCTTCTCTTGCAAAGGGATGGAGTAAAAAGTCTGTCAAAGTGACTTTCCCAGACTTAAAAATGCATGTTTTGATTGCATGTTTGGGGGACATCATTGTTTTCTGTTTCTGAATCTTTTTTTTTTTTTGCCTTGATCCAGATCGGGGTATATATGTCAAAATGTTTCCCTGGGACAGTTAGATACAGTAGTCCTTGAGTTTCAACCATTCTTCTCCTCCTCTCAAAATTGCATTGATATGTCCATGAACACTCAAAAGGTTGAGCTTGATTTCAAACCTTGTTTGAGTTTTGAAGCTAAGCATGTCTTAGCTTCAAAGCAAACTTCTTAGATTAGTGCTTAGAAAAGGCAGAGAATCTTAGGATCATAATTTAGCCTGGATGATGATGATGATTCCTCCTCCTCCTCCTCCTCCTCCTCCTCCTCCTCCTCCTCCTGTTTCCTGATTCTATTGGGTGAGTTGACCATGGCGAATTGGCTGCAGCCCCCCCCCCCTCACCAACATTGACAGGGCAAGTCACTAGAATATAAATGGAGAGCAAACTCCACTCCACTTTTGGCACTGATGATGTTATCTAGTTGGGTCATGAAACGTTTGCAAGAAAACAAGCAAGCTCAGAGAGCACCAAGGACCCCTCATTTCAACCCTGAGCTACAGAGACTCTACTTTATTGTCTGTGGGCTAGATCTGAAAATTGGGGGGGGGAGCAGTGATTTATCCCTTCCATACTGTTGACCAAATACTCCAAAGAGACTTTAGTTTACGCATGTGACCATCTCTTTGTGGTAGGCCTAACCCCAAACCAAACCATGATTACGAAAGATTGAAGATACAGTGCATGAAGGCCATGTCGGATCTACAGTCCCTACAGAACCAGCACACCAAAACGCTAAAGAGATGCGAAGAAGCTGCTAAGGAAGCTGATTTCTATCAGTGAGTAAACATACACATCTGTACCATTTTTTCTTTTTTCTTTTTTCTTTTTTTTTGCATTATTTATTTATTTCTTATACTTCGAATAGATTCTCTTAGAATTGGATATTCAGGGGCTTTTAATGCTAGCTTTCTTATCCTCAATCTGTTTGTCTCTAAAATGTCCTAATTTTAACATCGGCGGAGGGAGAATATACAGAGCATTTAATAGCGGATTAAGGATTAGTTTTTTTTTTTAATCTCCCAGATTGCTTCTCTTGCAAAGGGATGGAGTAAAAAGTCTGTCAAAGTGACTTTCCCAGACTTAAAAATGCATGTTTTGATTGCATGTTTGGGGGACATCATTGTTTTCTGTTTCTGAATCTTTTTTTTTTTTTGCCTTGATCCAGATCGGGGTATATATGTCAAAATGTTTCCCTGGGACAGTTAGATACAGTAGTCCTTGAGTTTCAACCATTCTTCTCCTCCTCTCAAAATTGCATTGATATGTCCATGAACACTCAAAAGGTTGAGCTTGATTTCAAACCTTGTTTGAGTTTTGAAGCTAAGCATGTCTTAGCTTCAAAGCAAACTTCTTAGATTAGTGCTTAGAAAAGGCAGAGAATCTTAGGATCATAATTTAGCCTGGATGATGATGATGATTCCTCCTCCTCCTCCTCCTCCTCCTCCTCCTCCTCCTCCTCCTCCTCCTCCTCCTCCTCCTCCTCCTCCTCCTCCTCCTCCTCCTCCTCCTCTTCTTCTTCTTCTTCTTCTTCCTCCTCCTCCTCCTCCTCCTCCTCCTCCTCCTCCTCCTCCTCCTCCTCCTCCTCCTCCTCCTCCTCCTCCTCTCCTCCTCCTCTTCTTCTCTTCTCTTCTTCTTCTTCTTCTTCTTCTTCTTCTTCTTCTTCTCTTCTTCTTTCTTCTTCTTCTTCTTCTTCTTCTTCTTCTTCTTCTTCTTCTTCTTCTTCTTTTCCTCCTTCTCCTCCTCCTTCCCCTTCCTCTTCCCCTCCCCCCCCAAATTGCATTGGTATTTATTTATTTATTTATTTTATTGGACTTATATGCCGCCCTTTCTCCACAAGGACTCAGGCCGGCTCACAGCAATAAAGCAACAACAAGTCCAGATTAAAATTCAAACGATAAAAGAATCTAAAATTCCCATTAAAACCCCTTCAGTCCAGGTCAGCCTGGTGAAACAACCATGTTTTAAGGTCACGGCGGAAGGAGCGAAGGTCGGGGGCCACCCGGAGCACCAAAGGGAGCTGATTCCAGAGGGTAGGTGCGCCTACAGAGAAGGCTCACTCTCTAGGGGCTGTCAGCCGACATTGCTTGGCCGACGGGACCCCAAGTAGGCCCTCTCTGTGTGAGCGCACCGGGCGATGGGGAGCTGTTGCTGGCCGCAGGTGATCTGCCAGATAACCCGGGCCTAAGCCATGTAGGGCTTTATAGGTAATCACCAACACCTTGAACCTCAAGGTATATTGATGAACACTCAAAAATTTGAGCTACATTTGAAAACGTTACTGTTTTTAATGTCCAAATACCACTTCGTGACCCTCAATGTTTCCTCTGTGTTTTAGTAGAGAAGGCCAACAGCGTGATTGAAACTTTAAACTACCTCCTTTAAAAGTCACTTTTAATTTCCAGGCGCAAGGGCTCATTTCATTTGGCCTTACTTGTGTGCCTTTCTCTTCTGGCCAGTACGTTACACAGCCGCCTGCTGAGCGACCAGTCCCAGCTGAAGGAAGACATGGACACCTTAAAGAGGAAAAACAGCCAGTTTGTACGGGAGCACAATCACCTCCAGCAGTTATGTGAGGAAATGAAGAGACTTCACGAGGAGGATCAGAAGGAAATAACAAACTTACGCAGCCAACAACAGCAGGTATTTCTTTCTCTGTTTTTTTTTTTTAAGTACAGCTATTCCTCGACTTACAACAGTTCATTTAGTGACCGTTTGAAGTTACAACGGTACTGGAAAAAGCGACTTATGACTGTTTTTCACACTTACGACCTTTACAGCATCCCTGTGGTCACGTGACCAGAAATCAGATGCTTGGCAACTGGTTCATATTTATGACAGTGGCCGTGTCCCCTGGGGGGTCACGTCATCCTCTTTTGCGACCTTCTGACAAGCAAAGTCAGTGGAGAAGCCAGATTCACTTAACCACTGTCTCGCTTAGCAACAGAAATGTTGGGCTCTGTTGTGGTCGTAAGTCGAGGACTGCTGTACTTTGCATAGGAAATTTTTTTGGTTTGTTTTTTTTTCACAATTAAAATATACATTAATGCATTAGAAGCGCTTTTCATTTAATTAGCATACCGGTTGCATTTATTGCTGATGGCTTTTCGGCTATGATTTTTGCAGAATTTAGGCACCGTGGTTGAAATTTTTTTCCTAAGGCAGATCTAAGCAATTTAGTGTTTCTATTTATAAACTTTCTGGTTTTTCAGCTTTGCAATCAGCTTGAAGATAATTTATTCCAAAAGCGGTTTTCTGATGTTAATTAGATCTCACTAGGATGTTCTATAGGCCATTCGGTATTTAATCTGCTTGTTTCTACGTTGAATTTCGGTTGTACACCAATGCATGAACCTCTGTCTTCTCAGTCTGTAAAGGAACTCTTAGGATAGGATAGGATAGGATAGGATAGGATAGGATAGGATAGGATAGGATAGAATAGAATAGAATAGAATAGAATAGAATAGAATAGAATAGAATAGAATAGAATAGAATAGAATAGATTTTTTTTATTGGCCAAGTGTGATTGGACACACAAGGAATTTGTCTTGGTGCATATGCTCTCAGTGTACATAAAAGATACATTCATCAAGAATCATAAGGTACAACACTTAATGATAGTCATAGGGTACAAATAAGCAATCAGGAACAATATCAGGATTCAGCTTCTGGAAATCTAGCCTGGATTTCTTTCTGTTCAACCTGATTCTCATTGCGTTACTTAGAGGATAACTGATGAATTTCCAGCTCCCTTGAACCCTCTTGGCCAAACCAACAAGAAGTTGCCAAGCGGTTAAAATGAGAGAAAACTAACCAAAGTTGTCCTTATCTAGGTAGAACAGTAATTCAAACCGATGAGCTCTTTTTTCTACATTAATTATAACAGAACAACAGAGTTAGAAGGGGCCGTGGAGGTCTTCTAGTCCAACCCCCTGCTCGAACAGAAGATTCTTACACCAGGGGTGTCAAACTCAAGGCTGGGGGCTGGATCCGGCCCGCGGGGTGCTTAGACCTGGCCCGTGGGGCTGCCATTGAAACAGCAAAGGACCGCCCCACGGTGCCTCTGCCAGCAAAAATGGAGCTTGTGAGGGCCATGCGTGGCCCTCCCGAACTCCATTTTCGCTGGCAGAGTGCTCAGACCGCCACAGGTGCCCCCCCGACATGAGTGATGTCATGCTGACCACGCCCAACCACCCCCGCCCTCCCCAAAGTCAAACACAACCCTGATGCGGCCCTCAATGAAATTGAGTTTGACACTCTTGCTCTACACTATCCCAGTCAAATGGTTGTCCAGTCTATTTTTGAAAACCTCCGGTAAAGTGATAAATCTGTATAGAGATGGACCCAGAGAGTTAGTCGAAACGAACTTGGTATTTCATGCTACGTTCAGACCATTGTCATTATTTTCAGTACAAAGTAATTTTACAAAGTAAATTTTTCAGTAAAGAAACAAAAACCATAAACCACCCCTCCTTTGTATAGTAAGCGCTCCTGCATTGCAACAACTTAAGCGTGCCATGAAAATCTAAATTTAACACAACTCCACTTTATGAAAGGGATTTGTCATTTTTCCTGTTGAGATTGGCAGATGGTCAGTCATAAGAATTGAGCACATCTTCAGATTAGGATGAGTTGTTTTTTTCCCAAGAAGTCATTGCGTTGGCAGAACATCTGTAATCTCGGAGGCTTGTCCTGATGGATTTAGCTCTTTCTCTGGGGGCTCATCCAGCTGTTGTTTATACCATAATTCTTTTGCAACTTTCAAGCCATTCCTAAAGATCTCAGTGTCCCTATTTTTCTATTCTGGCAGCCTGAAGTTTCCTGTCGCTTCTATTTTTAGATTTCTAGGTAGTCCAGTTTTTTCCACGCAGTTCCTTTTATTTGTATTTTTTATGACTTCTTGCTGTTGTCCATTTATCTGCTCCTGTTTCTCATTCCTCATCCCTTCATCCTCTAAAACAGGGGTGTTAAACACAAGGTCTGTGGGCCAGATCTGGCCCACGGGGCCATCCTGGAAAATGTAAGGGGCCGGCCCGTGTCACGTTGGCCCAGTCTTATTATGGTCCGCCAGCAGCCTGCGGAGCTGGCAGCGGAGTTGGACAGTGAAGAGGCTGGGGAGGACAATGGGCCAGTCCTAGAGTCAGGGGAAGGCCCAGACAAGGGCTCTGCGTCGGAGGCAGAGATGGGGCCAGGGCCATCTGGGAGCGATGCGCAGACTCCAGAGCCCCCAGAGGCGGATAGCAGAGAGGCAGAGGAACAGGAGGAGCCTGTTCCTAGTACATGCATGTGAAGAGCTGCCAGAAGGCAGGAGCAGCTAAAGCAAAAAGGATGACTCGGGAGTAAGGCCAGAAGATGATTGGCCACTCCCAGAATGCTTAAAAGAACAGCAAAGGCTCTTGGGATCTTCGTAGAAAAGCAACTTTGCTACATTTGTTTCTTGTCGGCGTCTCTTGCTTCTGAACTTTTGCCAAGAAAAGCCTTTGGCAGGGTGCCAAAGTAGACAAAGGTTGGTGATAAGGCCGAAGGACTGTTTATGAAGAATTTGTTTTGGACTTAATCTGGACTATGCTGAGAATGAAGTAATTCTCAGCTGTTCTAATAAAACATGTTGGTTTAGGACTGATTGTGTCTGGTAATAACTACTTGGGCCTAGGTCACAACAATGTGAAGAGGAAACAGTTTGGGGAGTGGCGTCAAGATGGTCACGCCCACCCAGTTGGCCACGCCCAGTGAGTAGCATCAAGATGGCCACATCCACCCAATCGGCCACCCTCCCTTTCTCTTGAGGTCGACCAGAGCCCTCAATGAAACCCCTGCTATAAATTAACAGCCCTGCATGTAAATTGCACTAAAAGTCATTGATGTATGTAATCAGTAAATACACGTGCCACAGCAATATGGTTTGTGTGTGTAAGAATTAAGAAAAACTTCAAAATTCACTAATAACTAAAAATAGTGCTTACGACCACAATTGAGCCCAAAATTTCTGTGGCTAAGTGAGACATTTGTTAAGCGAGTTTTGCCCCGTATTACAACTTTTCTTGCCGCGTTTCTTAAGTGAATCACTAAACTAGTAAGCGAATCTGCCTTCCCCCACTGACTTTGCTTGTCAGAAGGTCACAAAAAAAGATCACATGATCCCGGGACACTGCAACTGTCATAAATACGAGTCAGTTGCCAAGCATCTTTATGTAAATCACGTGATCCTGGGGACGTTACCCTGGGGATCGTAAGTGCGAAAAATGGTCATAAGTCACTTTTTAAAGTTGTATCTTTGAAGGGTCACTAATTGAACTGTTGTAAGTCGAGGACTACCTGTATGGTATGGAAGATTCACCAATTGCCCTCTCGTATTTTCTTTGCCTCCTATAAATGTTTAATGTGAATCTTACCATATTTATCGATCCATAAGACACACATTTTTGTCTCTCAAAGGTGGGTGGAAACGTCTGTGCGTCTTACGGAGCGAATATTGCTGAAGCCCCCCCCTGCCCCCCACCCTTGGGCCATTTTTTACCACCGTGGCATCCGCCTACCCTATTTTTTGCCTCCACACATCCTAATTTCAGCCTCTGAGCACCCCATTTTTAGCTTCCACGTACCTCATTTTTGGCCTCCGTGCGCCACATTTTTGGCCTCTATGCACCACTTTTTGGGCCTCCGCATGTCCCCTTTTCAGCCTCCAGGTGTCCCACTTTTGGCCTCTGCACACCCCGTTTTCAACCTCCGCGGGGCATGCACAGGTCAAAAACTGGAGTTCATCAGGGTTGGGTTCTACTTACCTTTACCACCCGTTCGCAACGGGATCGCATGCGCAGTTCACTGATGACGACATCTGGGATGGTGGGCGAGTCCCTTCATCCCCATAATAGATCTAAGTCCGGCCCACCTTGAACTCGGTTGAACTCTTATCTACCGCCAATTTGCCTTGAAAGTTAGTAGTTCAGATTCTTATATATATATATTTATTTATTTAGCGTAGGGCAAATACATGGACTTATAGTAGTTCAAATGTTAAATGTCCAGTCCACCCAGCCATTCAAGGCAAGGGTGGCCTATGTTGAAAAAAAAAACCAGACATTGGGCAGGTGTAAGCTCTTGATGGACATTCGGACACAGTATGGTGGATATTTTGTCGATGAGCACCACAGTCTCACTGAGGGGTAGTGACAAGACCCCACTTAAGCAATGAGCCCTGGCAGACACCATGTTGGGTACGGATCCTGTTCAGAGTTGACCAAAGCTGGTGAGGAAGGTCAAAACCTGGCAACTTTTGTGTATGGTCATCTATGTATCTGGGCGTTGTGTAGGGTCATGCCTATAACTTGGCGTTCAGCAGCCCATTTGGCTTTCCACTGTGTCTTTATCCGTTGCCCTGTATTTAGAGAGCCAGGAGTTCTACAAAGATGCCTGGCTGCCAACTCTCGTTAACTGCCAATTCTTCGATCTAGTCTGGCTGCCGATTGTTGCTAGTCGTTGTGTTCACCCTTCCGTGCTATCCAGGGTGCACCACGAGGAGGCAAACTATCATCACACCCGTCTTATATATAAATATAAGAAAAAGATTTATATTTAAGTCTTTTAAAACCTATTTAAAGATGTATGTTTAATAAAACTATTAAAAATATACAAAATAAAATATT